TACTAGTATACCGTACCGTACTACTACGTACTAACGTACGTACGTACTACACACACACACACACACACACACACACACACACACACACACACACACACACACACACACACACATACACACAACACGCACACGCACACGCACACGCACACGCACACGCACACGCACACGCACACGCACACGCACACGCACACACACACACGCACACGCACACGCACACGCACGCGCTCACACGCACGCACGCGCACGCACGTACGCATATATATATATAGGTATATATAAAGTAGATTATTACAATTATTACTAGATAGTGAGAGCAACATAGAGTTTTGTGGACCGATAAAATCAATGTTGCGCAAACCCCGACATCAAAGATTTTTCGTCGTCACAAAATTATATGTTGTACGGGCCACCAGGCAATAGTTGTTTTGTTACATCGGTAATCACCTTGTTACAACATTCTTGCGAGACCTCGTACGGCGAAAAATATGGTGTAGATCCTCTCGACGATATCGCGGCACAATGCGTAATACGCATGGATTCTTCCGAACATTCCCGAACTTATCTGCAAAAATCGTCTGTAATAATTCTCTGCCGAGTTGCGGTCGCCGCGTTTCTATCTAAATGCCAACAAAGAATGCTTAAACAGCTACTGCTAGAGACCGACCCCCTGCGTCGTAGTTACACACGACGCTATCTCGAGATCTATCTCGAGAAAATCTTGGACCTGCGATGAGTGACAGGTCGGACGTCTTTAATGTGCTTATATATCATTTGCGCTGTATTATCCTATAGAATTCTCTCATCGGGAAGCTCGAGGTAAACTTTGGAAACACTTCAATAAGTACAATGCTGTGACGGGTTCGTTGCCCACAGGGGGTGAATGCAGTGAGCATGCACGCACTAGTGGTTAGGTGAAATATGGTTTTAACGTGACGCGAATTGGTTTCGTTATTGCTGCCAGGGCGCCACGCTATATTATGCCAGCCTGCGAGAACCCCTAGTTCTCAACTATTAGCTGTCAACTAATATGGATTCTTCACATAACGTCGAATCCTTGATTATACGGTAGATTCACACTTCTACGTGTACATTATTATATTATATTACTCCGCCATTGTGCGTTCAGAACAATTTCCATATTTAACTGTGAACGAGAACCGCATACATCATAATGTAGATCCTGCATATATTTCTAGACTTTCATCTGTAAAGTTTTTTACGTGTTTTCGCATAAAACTCGTGTGTTTACATGAAACAGGGTTATATGGTTTGCTGCATACATATATTGTGTTGTGTCATTCTTCCGCACAATTCGACATTTCCATGTTGCAGTGAATGTATGAGTTTGCGTTTATAGGGGCAGCGCATATTTTCAGGGCAAAACAGCAATGAAATCATTTTATACTCTAATTTGTTCTGATAACTTTCTTGCAGGAATATGCTGAAATTTCCAACCAATACCAGGGACGCATTACTCTCAAAAAACATCTTGACTTTCGATCATTCAGCTCCTTCTACGTTACGGTCAAGGCTCAGGTTTGTTCCACGCTATATGTGCCATTACACAGAACCTCCTTATCAAAAAAATATATAATCCCGAACACGGATTAGTTCTTATTTCTCACAAAGACTTCTTAGACAGAGCAAAACTGATTCACATAAGTCAAATTCTGTATGAAATTATCTAGGCTTAGTGTGAAATAGCGAATGTTTGCGTTTGTCTGTCGATCAGGACTCCGGCGTGCCAGCTTTATTTACCCGGGAAAATCTAACGGTTGGAATCATAGACGAGGACAACCTAAACCCCATTTTTACAGCTGGCCCGTATTCTGCTGAAATCGAGCACAACACACCTGTGGTAATGTATCGAGATATCACGTGTTGACTATATGCTTGCGTACTCTATAGCGTTAATGCTGTAGGTATTCCAGATAGAGACGTTTTGCTATAATTTCTTGCGGCATCATTTATCATATAATACGGATGTCCATAAATCATGGGTTCTCAATGACGATATTAGATGATGGTATTAGTAAGTGTATGCTCATGACGGTAGCAGTATTTCCATGAGAATGCAGGGATTAGTATATATTTATAGTTTCTCAACGTCTTAGGGAAGCGTCATTCACACATCACCATCGCCCATCCTCGCTGTCGATCAGGACAAGGGAATCATGAGTCCTATATTTTACACTATTGAGTATGGTGAGTGCTTCACATTAGATGTAACTGCAGTAGTTACACATCAACAGTTATATAGCTATATGGAAAAGAGGACGAAAAGAACGATTGTTACGGATAATACTGTAGAACAAGGTTTTGGCGGTTAGATTTAATACGCGAAAACACTTTTTCTTTATGTGATAAAAGTTGTTTAAATTTGAATGTTATTGCTGAGAATTACGCTCTCGGCAACCTCGAATTATTGTCGTTGTCAACCGCGTCGACAAAAGCTAGCATAACTGGTTTTTGCGTTCTACCGGATGTAGTTATCGACATATCCTGTTTAAATATGTATCACGTGGACCGTGAATGTTTGCGCCTGTGCCTTACCGATCTAACCAGCGGCCTTGTTTACGGCAGTGTGAATGCGTGAGCGGCTGTGCATACGCGCGTCCAGAAGAAAAGCAATATTAGAGCGTGTGAACTAGGTGAAGATGTTGTATCATGCACCATTTGCACTTCAGCATTGTCTGGTCGCATATTTACCACAGGCACGCGCACGCTACTAATTATACTCACGAAGTAATAAATAATAAGTAAGTGCTAGGCGTTCTCGCACCACATATACGTATATAGGCGCTCGCAGGTGCATACTTGCGCGCTTGCTATCGATAACCATATTGTTAGTTTAGAGAAGGAGACGATTATTTTCGGGACGCGGGATCGGACCATTTAAATTTAAATTAAATTTACATTAAAATCGGACCATTTAATTATCTGTGAACCGAAAAATACTAGACGAAGTAGCTAGCTGGGATGCGAGAAAGCCCTGAATTGCTATTTTATTTAATTAAATGGAAACAGGGAACTGGCACGTTGTTTTACCCGGGACACTGGAAATGGCTCCCCGTTTTCCTACAGTGTAGCCTACGTTGCAGCACGCAGTGGATCGGGTACTATAGTATCTAAAGCTAATCCAGCGACGCTATCACGAAATATAAACATATATCCACATTCCCTTCCACCACGAGTTTAGGTTCCAACGGCTACTTCGACATCGACAACACGACTGGCGGGCTGACACTGATGGGCCCGCTGCGGCGCGGCATGCATTTCTACATGATGGTCAAAGCGACTGAGGCGCGCAACGGCGACCACTACGCGACGACGTCGCTGACGGTGACCGTAAAGCGAGCGAACAAGAACGCGCCGATATTCCCGCACACCAGCTACCGAATCGACGTGCTAGAGAACGTGCCCGTCGGCAGCACGGTGATGAAGATAGCTGCCGTCGATGACGACGGGGTAATCACATTAAACGCTAGAGTGAGAGAAGCGCGAACAAGAGGGGGAGAGAGGTCAGAGAGAGAGAGAGAGAGAGAGAGAGAGAGAGAGAGAGAGAGAGAGAGAGAGAGAGAGAGAGAGAGAGAGAGAGAGAGAGAGACAGAAAGAAGGGTGTGTGTGTGTGGTGTGTGTGTGTGTGTGTGTGTGTGTGTTGGGTGTGTGTGTGTGTGTGTGGTGATGTGTGTGTGTGTGTGTGTGTGTATTGTGTGTGTGTGTGTGTGTGTGTGTCGTGTGTGTGTGTGGTGTGTGTGTGTGTGTGTGGTGTGTTGTGATCTGTGTTCGTGTGTGTTATGTGTGGGGAGAGAATGAGAGGGAGACACAGCAAAGGAAAAGAACCCGAAAGAACGAACCAGAGGGCCAGCCCGTCAAACGAGAACAGAGAGCGAGAGAGAGCCGCGAGCGAGCGAAGCGAGAGAGAGGAGAGAGGAGAGAGAGAGAAGCAGAGAACGAGAGACGAGAGAGCTACGAGAGAGGAAAGACTCCGGAGAGAAAGAGGACGAGAGAGAGAGAGAGAGAGAGAGAGAGAGAGAGAGAGAGAGACGCGACGGGATAAAGGGAAAGCGACGACAGATATTATTAAGGATTTTGTTCACAGTGGAACATATATAAACGACACTGATGGTGCTTCTTAATACGATGTACAATATTTATTTTACGTAATTATTCAACGGCGTTGGGATCGTCGTACATTGTTTACGCGTGAAGCTTGGCTATCCGTGAAAACATATAACCTGCACCGCCATCTGTTGAGAAGAAACTTAATTTACCTACTGGTTTTTACGCAGGACGCCGACGAACTTACCTACACGATTATAGGCGGCAACCAGAGCGACGATTTTATAATGACAGAAACGTGAGTGAATAACAATGGTTCATTGATTCACGCGTGATCACTCTATAGCTGTGAACGCGTGCTTTAAGTCTTCTTCCTCTAGAGAATAATACGATAATGCATGAGCATCGGAATGTTACACGCCAGTAATTCACGTCTTTTTGCAAGCATTTCACGGGTGCCAGGAAATTAAAATGCGATGTGTATAGTTATAATTTTAGGAGTCAGGCGTTCACCGTTTGCTCTCGTTAGCACATTCGAAGGAAATCTCAACGCGTTATGTAACTTGCCTTATACGCCCGCCGGTGAGTTTACCTCATTTATTTATTTCAATACCAGAGGAGAATTGATAACTACCAAGAGGCTGAACTTTCTGCGCACAACAGCCTATCAGTTCACAGCTCTCGTCTCAGACGGAACGTTTGTGAGTGATTATCTCAGGTGTTATGTATTATCTAATTCGGAGAGTAGCACGTAAGGTTCTTTTCGCGCTTGGTCGATATTTCGTTTTATTTTTTCTGCCATCGGCTGCATAATGCGTCATAATGCTACGATATTATAAGTATCTCAAATCTTATTTCCAATCAAACGTAACAAATTACGTGAACAGAATTTATACATGAACTAAACGTGTTATGCATGCCGGTGCTACTGAAAAGAAGTTTGCATATAATACATGTAATATACGCATAATTATGTACATGCAAGATTTTAACGACGTTGAGCAGAGATGGAAGCCGTATTCCTAATTTAAGATTTCTATTCGTTTTTCATTTATTCACAACGCGTTGTTGCTTCGCTTGTTATTTTCTTCTAGTCTGACCAGTGCAGCGTGCGAGTTGTTGTGGTCAATGTGAACAACCGCAACCCTGTCTTTGAGCATCAGATATACAACATCACTGCCAACCGGACGGGAGATAAATATATTGGAAGCGTTAAAGCTAGCGACCCTACCGGGCGTCGTCTTGTCTACGACATTGTTGGCTATAAGAGGTATCAATATGCGTGAGTTATAGCAAGCTAATCATTATGTGTCATATATAGAGGAATCTTTACTGGAGATTAGCAGTGTTTCTGTTTAAGATTGTCGATGCCGCTGGTATATCATCCAGATAACAATTTAAACATCACGAACGATGCGAAAGAGAGAACCATGATAGCATTTCACTTATTCACACGGAGCACTAGAGAGTAGGCGCAAACGCATTTTACTCCATATAGCATTGCGCTATAGAACGTCATAGCTGCATGTGTATATATTGGGACAATTCCTTTCGCTTGTCAATTTTCTATTGCTAATTTAATCCTAAGCGACGCGGCCGTTGCACTTCGATTTTGAATTTTCCAATCCCAGCAATGAATCTAATTAGGCGACACTTCCCTTTGTCTCGCAGATATTTTAAAGTTACGCCGGATGGCGATGTCATCGCTACAAGTCACATTAGCGAGTTGATCGACAGTAGATACGACCTAACGCTAACGGCTTGTAATGAGGAAAGCCCGCAGTTAGACGAAGACATGCGCTGCTCTGTCGCACAGCTCACCGTTTTCTTCCCGACCAAAGACAAGTGTGAGTAATATCTACACGTAGTTCAGTACCGTACCCTTCAGAGACTTGGCCCGTGATCAAGTGTGAGTATCTACACGTAGTTCATAATGAACCGTACCCTCCTGAGACTTGGACCGTGATCAGGTAGTAACTGTTTTTTGAAATATGAATTAATATAATATTTGAATCACTTCAAGTAATTCAATGATCCCTTTCTGGTAACACCAGAACTGCAAGTCTTTTATTCAGTAGCGCAACGGGAGTTATATATTATATGATGAAGTTAACGAAAATTAGCATCATATAGTCGTGCGTATAGACATCGATCCCTGTTAACAAGTAACTTCAGAGGTTATCCTGGCTGGCACACGCACATCTGGAAAAACAGATGATATACGGAAGCTGTATTACTTCCA